TAGAGAAAAATGCATCCCAAAAAGACATCAACAAAAAGGGAAAAGAGGAGTTACAATTCGGCAGTTATAATTTATCTATTTTAAACTACTCAACTACAAAAATAGTGCCTAAAATACCAAATCCCAGAGTCCAACTGTCCTTTCTGAGGAAAGGATAGCTATTCCAACTCCATGACTAATGTCCCATGCCTGCCTTAAATTGGTTTAGACTTCAACTCCTAGTATATTCCAAGCTCAGTGGGTGGTTCAGAGAACAACTCTGCCCCACTACAGGAAAGTCAGGGCATCTCTGAACTGGTCAGTCCTTGTGACCACCTAATTCTTAGAGCACTTTTTCCAAATATTAATGCAAGCCACAGAAAATACAGTAAGTTTGCCTAATCAATCATTTTGACTCAGAAGCAAATGAATCCTCTATCTACTCGTGTTACATACAAAATAGTTTGGTACAATTTATAGCAGTTATAGCAATCAAGAAAGTTAAAGGAAAAAAGAAAAAGTTCAATTTGTCAATTGAATATTTATTTTACAACTCTCAGACAAAGCTTGGAAAATTGGAAATTCTGTAATAGCCACTTTGCTATTATGGAGTGGAGGCTTGATTTCCTCAACTAAATTAATGCCAAAAGATACACAGACAAAAGGATGAAAGAAGGACCATGATGACACCAGGGGAGAGTTGTCCAGACAGGAGTTTAATGGTGAACAGTTATAACCTGCATCTATCTCTCCAAGCAACAAGTACATGATATGTTCTCTTTAAAATTTAGTGTAATAATTAAAACAGAAACATTAAACTTGCTGGAACACAGCACAGGTAAAATTCTTGAAGACATTGATGTAGGCAATGACTATGATTAAAACCTTAATCTCACAGAAACTATCATAAAAACCAACAACTAGGATCTCATCTTATTAAAAAGCTTTTACACAGCAAAAGAAATCACCAACAGAGTGAAAAGACAACCCACAATGTGAGAAAAAAATGTTTCTCAGACAAAGGATTACTATAGAACATAAAAAGAACTCAAAAACAAAACAAAACAAAACAAAACAAAGCAAAACAAAACAAAAAAAACCTCAGACCTCCCAAATTGAAAGACCCAATGAAAAAAATGGGCATCTGAGGTCAATACACACTTCCTGGGTGAAGAAATGCAAACAGCAAATAAATATATGAAGAAACGTGCAACATTACTGATTATCCAAGAGATGCAAATTAAAATTATGCTGACATTCCATCTCACCCCAGAAAGAATGGCTATCACAAGAAATTAGCCAATAACAAATTGCAGGAAGGGTATGGGGAAAAAGGAATCCTCCACTGTTGGTGGTAATATAACCTGGTGAAACCACTGTGGAAATTAGTGTGGAGATTCCTCCAAAAACTAAGATGAAGTGTCCCCTTTGGCCCAACTATTCCCTGTGGCTATCTGTTCCCGAGAATTAAAAACATCACACCACAGCAATATATGTACCTCCATATTTATAGCAGCACAATTTGTAGTAGCTAGACTTTGGAAACAAACCAAATGCCCATCAACCAAGGAATAGATAAAAAAAGACATGGTCTTTTATACATTAGAGTGCTACTTAGCCACTAAAAGTGATTAACTGGAGATCTTTATAAGCAAACAGATGCAACTCAAGATCATATTCATAAGTGAAATAAACCAGACACATACGCAAACATTGTATTGTCTCCCTAGTGTAAGACACTGAAAGAGTAAATCAGATCTAAAATATGCAATAGACATTATAAAATGGGAAGAAACTTCAAAAGGAAAGAGAAACTGGGGTGAGGAATGGGAAAAAAGAAGGAAAGGAAA